TGCTATTTCTATCCTTTATTTTATTTGTTTCCATTTGCTTGGTATATTTTTTCCTCCTCACTCTTATTTTTAGTCTGCCTTTATCTTTGTTTCTCAGATGTGTCTCTTGTAGACAGCATATTGATGGACCTTGTTTTTTCATCCAATCTGCTACTTTTATTCTCTTTGTTAGTACATTTAAGCCGTTCGTATTCATTGTAATTATCAAGAGGCAAGATTTTATTACTGTCATTTTGTTAGTTCTTTTTTGTGTTGTTGCTGATTACTTTGTTCCATCTACTTTTCTGAGGCATCTCTATTTTGTCTGTCGTCTTGTCCTTCCATACATTTTCTGTTACTGAAATTTTGGTCGTAATATTCCGGATTTAATTTTGCTGAGTTTTGTATGGCTTAGAATTTTCCACATGCTTTGTTGGTTTGTCCTTGTAACTTTTTAAAGTCTTCTCTAGTTTTATCTGTATTACTCTTTAACTATCTCAAATTCCACTGGATACTCTTAGCTATAATTCTTTTTTTATTTTAGGAAGATCTCATGCAATTTCTTCTTCTGAAAAGTTTTTGTTCTGCATTTTAGTCACTTATTTGTATTATCTTGCCCTTTATCTCTGTGCATGTGTTTGTGTGTGGTTGTGTGTGATTTGAAGTTAATCTGTTGCCTTTGAAAAATTGTTGTATCATATTTGTTTTCTTCTGTTTTTATATATCCAGTTGAGTGGAGTAAGTTTGCTATTTAGCCCACTGCTTTGTTAGTTTTTATGCTTTTGTCTCCTATCTTCTTGTGGGTGTGACAGAGAATGGAGAAGGACATGCAGTTCTACATTTGCTGGTCTCAACAGGATCTTTCCTAATTCCTTTAATGCTCCTTCTACCCACCAAACTCTGTGACCTCTTGATTTCCTCTCTCCCCACTTTCAGTCCTCCTACTCCATCTCCTTCCCCCTTTGGGCTTTTATACACATATCTGACTAGTTATCCTTCTATTTTTACAATAATTGTGTACATCTTTGCTTTTTAACACTTCAAAGAGATATTTTGAAAAAATTGGTTTGTAAATGAAACATCCCAAATACCCATCAACAAATGAATGTATTGCAAAATTGTGGTATATCCACACAGTGGAGTAAAGAGGTCATTTGTGACAGATTAGCACAGCACAAATTATTGTTAGATTTTCTGACTGCTGCTTTCATAGGTGTTGATTGTGGATACAATTTACATGAAATCCTTGACAATTTCTTTTCATACTATCTAACAGCTCTGTGATTACATTTGCATGAGCAAAACCAAATCCATTGCTGTTGAATCATTTATAACTCATAGTAACCTTCTTTTGATTTCCAGTACTGTGGATCTTTAGAGATCCTCAAAGAGTACTGGTTGATTCTAACTTCCAGCCTATAACAGGCTATGCCACATATAATTCACATAGTATACACACAAATATGTTTCAATTGTACATGTTAACTTACCTTCGCCAATTCAGAGTTGCAGCCATCACCACAATTTTAGAACATCTTAGTTGTTCCTAAAAGAAACACTGTGCCTCTTAGCCATCATCTCTCAGTTAACCCCACATCTCCAAGGTTAGGCAACGTAGAGAGCCTTTGGGGTTTGAACATTCCATATATTGAATGTATTTTTCCTGTTCATCTTTAAATTCCATGAGAACTAGGATTTTGACTGTTTCATTCACTCCTGACTATCTAGTATCTGACTGGGCACTAAATAATTAATTAATTCAACAAATATTCAAGAGTGTTAAGCAGGGATAATATGATCTGATTTACATATTAATGAATTAATAAATGAAACATGATATATATATTGAAAGATTATATAAAGCACAGTGCACATGAAAAAAAGAAAACTTTGCCATTATGAGGGAATAAGACTAAGCCCAGGACTCATTCAAATATTATAAAAGACCCTTTCCATAAAGTTGGCTTATTTATATGAAGAATGTGCTTTTTTTAAATGGCAAAATACTAAAACTCAAAATTGTTTAAACAACAACAACAACAACAACAACAAAGTTTAGACAGAAAAGAGATGTTATTGGCTTATTGTTTTTATGTTGTTAGGTGCCATTGAGTCAAGTATCGCTTACAGTGACCCTGTGAACAACAGATCTGAACCCTGGCCTATCTCGTGCCTTCTCATCATCTCTCACACGCTTGATCCCATTGCTGCTGTCACTGTGTCAATCCACTTTGTTGAGGATCTTCCTCACCTTTGCTGTCCCTTCTGCCTTTCCAAGCATAATGTCCTTCTCCAAGAAATAGTTCTCCTAGCATCGTTCTCAAAATATATGAGATGAAATTTTGTTATCTTTGTCTTGCAGAAGCACTCTGGCTCCACCCTCTTCAAGATACACATGCTTGTTCTTTCAGTTCTTCTTTGGATATTCCATACTCCAACACCACAGCTCAAAGACATCAATTCTTTTTCTGTTATCCTTATTCATTGTCCAGCTTTCAGATGGAAAGCTTCAGCATAGCAAGTGAGTCCTCAGACTGATGTCATTGTTCCTCAATAATTTGAAGAAATTCCTGAATGTAGACTTCCAGTGCAGTATGTCTCCTGACTGACTGTTGGTACCGAGTGTACTGATTGTGAATTCAAGTAAGATGAAATTGTTGACAGTTTCAATCCTTTTCCCATCTATCATGATGTTGCCTTTGGTCCCGTGATGAGAATTTTTATTTTCTTTTCATTGTGATACAATTCATATGGAAAGCTGCAGTCTTTTTTACCTTATGCAGCGTTTCAAGTTCTGCTCACTTTCAACAAGTAAGATTGTATCGTCTGCATAATACAGGTTTGGTTTTTTAAAATATGGAATGCTGGAGCTCTGGTGGCCCAGTGGCAAGAAGCTGTGCTGCAACCCCAAAGGCACACTGTTCGAATCCACCAGATGCTCAGGTGGAGAAGGAGGGACAATCAGATACAATTCAACAGTACACAACAACAACAACAACAAATGTATGAAATGCTTCATGTATTTGCATGCAATCCTTGCATAGGGGCCATGTCAATCTTTATTGTATTGTTCCAATTTTAGTATATGTGCTGCCGAAGCAAGCACATAATGCAGCTTATTGATGAATCTTCCTCTGGTTCTGATGTCACATTCTTCTTTACAGAAGAATAGCATCCAGCTTCTTGAATAATTTGTTCAGAATACAGATTGAATAGGTATGGAGAGAGGGTACACCTCTGAGGCACACCTTTCTTAATTTTAGGCTGTGCAGTGTCCCCTTACTTTGCATAACAGCCCCTTGGCTTAGGTATAGGTTTCACATGAGCACAATAATTAAGTGTTCTGGGATTTCGATTCTTTTTTTTTTAATAATTTTAATGAACATTTACAGAGAATTTGGATTTCCATTCATTCATTGCTGCACTTCTCTACCCGCCCAGCCCTCTCCCCCTGCCCCCCATTTCACTCCTCTCTTTCAAAAATAAAAGAAAGACTCCCTCCCTGGTACACAATCCCCCCGCACCCCTCCCACTGCCCCAAGTACATTCCACTATGCAACCTTAATTGTGGACTCTTGTGATAACCATAATACCCTATCTATCATACATCGCTTTTAAATTATTCACTCCTTCATCTGTTTCAGTGCAGTATACACAATTTATCCAGTTTTTCTCAGTCTTACCCCCACCCTGATATCAGTCCCATTTTACAGCAGTGGCAACATGCAATATTTGTCCTTTTGCGACTGAGATATTTCACTCAGCATAATGTCGTCCAGGCTCACCCATTTTGAATAATATTGAATGAGTTCCTTGTTTTTCAATGCAGCATAGTATTCCATTGTGTGAATATACCACAGCTTCTCGATCCATTCGTTTGTTGATGGGGGATTTCGATTCTTTTCAATGTTAGCCATAATTTGTTAAGCACAGTCAAATGCTTTTGCATTGTCAATAAAGCACAAATAGACATTCTTCTGGTATTCTCTGCTTTCAGTCAGGATCCAATGACATTCCTGGTGCCATGGCCTTTTCTAAACCCAGCCACAATTTCTGGCATTTCTCCTAAACAGAGCTAGCTATAACCAAAGCTAATTCAAAAGCTCTAGTAATATCAGAAATCTCTGTGTTTTCTCATCTCTGTGTTTCTCCCTAATGAGTGGCTCCATCATCCATGGCAGGATGTTCATGATATCCTGAGGCACTAGACATTTGTGACCACAGTCTCAGGAGAGAGAGTCCACTCTCCCTTGATTTTGTCTTTTGTTCCCATAAAGCCTGTCCAAACAAGTACTCACCCCTGGAATAGCCTGTGTCTGGGAGTAGTAGACACTTAGATTGGTTAAGCTTGAGTTACAGGTCATCTCCACTGGGATTAAGGCTCATGGATGAAGGTTGTAGAATTCAGCTTCACTCAGAATGGGCATCCCTCAGAGGAGAGAGGAGTTCATTCAAGTAAAGAAAAAGCACAAGGAGATTTGAAGCCAGCAAACAGCAGTTATCTACCATAACAAATATTTAGTTCTAGATTATGATCAGTGTGGAAAGAAGAGAATAGGACGGTGCACAAGAGTGTCATGGAAGGCCCTTATGTAGCCTGGGAGTTCAGAGAGACTTCTCGGAGAGGTATAGGTGAGCCCTTGCTGGGCAGGGCCCGAGGCAGCCATGTGTGCAAGGGCTTGGGGTGCTGGGGGTGTGGGAAAGCTATCTGAGGGCTGAGAAGAGGCTGGCATGGAGTGTGATGAGAGGTACAAAGCAGGGGAGGTGAGGCGGGGTGCCAACTCTGCAGGGCCTAGGAGGTTCTCGCAAGAATACTTTCGCTGCCTGTATGCTCAGTGGATTTGGGCACCACTGAAGGGTCGTAAGGAGGATAAGAGATGGGCCACAGGCTTAATTACACTTCAGAAGCTCTCTTTGGGTTTCGGGGCCTCAGGATTGGAGGGGCCCTGCATGGGCAAGGGGAAAGAGGACTATGCAGCCAGTATTCTTACCCTCTTCTTCTCATTGAAATGGACATGCAGGAATCTTCGATGAAGTGCCCTTATGCCTGGTCAAGATGCCTGGGAAGGGAGAGGATGACAGCAAGATGGTTCCGGTATGTCTCCTGCTCACCCCGTAGGTGACCTTCCTGGGGACTTCCTAGCTCCCCACAGTCACCGCCTTGCATCCCCTGTTCCCCTGCCCAGCTTTTCTCTTCTCTATCACACTCACCACCATCTGATACTGTATGCCTGGCTTGTTGTGTTGTTGTTATGTGCCATCGAGTCGCCTGCGACTCATAGCCACCCTACGCACACTAGCTCTGAAAACTGCCCTATCCTGAGCCCATCTCATCACCTCCGAGTCACTGAGTCAGTCCATCTCATCAGGCGTCTTCCTCTCCTGCACTGTCCCTCCACCCTTCCAAGCATGATGTCGCTTTCCAAGGACTCATCCCTCCTGCTTATGTGCCCAAAGTATGGCAGATGGCTTATTCAGTCTTATTTATTATCAATCTTATTGACTCTAAATGGTAACCTGCATAATGACATGGCTTTTTTGTCCATCTTGTTTTCATTCCACTCCTAGTGTCTAGAGCTGTGCCTGGTACATTGTTGTTAGGTGCTGTCAAGTTGAGTATACCTCATAGCGACCCTGTGAACAATTGATCACACTGTCCTATCCCATGCCATCTTCACAATCTCTGACACACTCAAACCCATTGCCACTGTCACCATGTCACCTTCTTGGTTGGTGGTGTTCAATAAAAATTTTCTGATTGAATGGATTATGAAATGGACTTTGCAAAGAACAAAAAGGCTGAATATGGCCTTTTTCTGGGCACAGGCAGGGCAGACCTAGCCCAGGTCTTGGCCATACCAGAGGCCAGAGAAGGCCAGTCCATTAGGGCAAGTACAATTTGATGATGGCCAGAGGAGGTAGACTGGACTGGCAGATGTTCATGACTATGACATATTGAGACTGAAGGTAAGACTGAAAGATGGACAGGGTCCAAGGCAGGGAATCCACCCAAGCTAAGAAACAAGGGAACCTAGGTGTGCAGCCAGCACTAGGGGAGTCAGTGAGAGAGAGGTCCTGACTCCAAGTTGCTTAGAGTCAGGCAGCTCCATCTGGGGGCACTTCAGAGTGGGAAGCATGGGAATGACCAGATGTGAAAGGAATGAGTGTTCATTGCTGTCTTGGAACCTTTGGACTAGCTCTTTCCTCTGCCAGGAAACTTATTCTCATTTGTGGAAATTATTGAACAATATTATTGATAACACATACAAGCAAGATTCTGCTGAAGATTATCCAAAAACGACTGGAACAGCACATCAACAGTGAACTGCCAGAAGTGTAGGCTGAGTTTAGAATGGGCCATAGTACTAGGGATATTGTAGCTAATGTTAGATGGATCTTGGCTGAAAACAGAGTACCAGAGGAATGTCTATCTTTGTTTCATTGATTATTCAAAGGCATTTGACTGTGTGGATCATAACGAACTGTGGCTGACTATGAGAAGAATGGGAATCCCAGAACACTTGATTGTGCTAATGCAAAACCTACACTTGGACCAGGAGGCAGTAGTCAGAAAAGAGCAAGGAAACACTGCATGGTTCAAAATTGGGAAGGGTATATGCCAGGGATGTGCCCTATCTCCATAGCTTTTTAATCTATATGCAGAACAGATTATCCGAGAGGCTGGGCTGTATGAGGAGAAATATGGCATCAGGATTGGAGGAAGATTCATCAACAATCTGCGTTATGCAGATGAACAACTCTGCTTGCTGAAACTGAGGAGGACCTGCAGAAGGTCAAGGACTGCAGCCTTCAATATGGATTGAAGCTCAATATCAAGAAAACAAAGATTCTCACCACTGGGCCAATCAGCAGCATCATGATAGATGATGAAGAGACTGAGATTGTTCACAGCTTTCGTTTACTTGGCTCCACAGTAAACACTCTTGGCACCAGCAGCCAGGAAATTAAAAGAAGTATTGCAATGGCAAAGTCTGCTGTCAGAGACCTCTCCAAAGTACTGAAGAGCAACAATGTCAGTCTGGAGACTAAGGTATGCCTGATACAGGCCATGGTCTTTGCAATCACTTGCTATGCATCAGAGAGCTGGACAATGAGTAGGGAGGATAGGAGAATTGATGCCTTTGAGCTGTGGTGTTGGAGAAGAGTATTGAATATACCATGGACTGCTAAGAAAATGAACAGGTTCATGGTAGAGAGGGTTAAACCAGGCTGCTCCTTGGGGACAAGGATTCTGAAGCTTCATCTGACATACTTTGGACATGTTACAAGGTAGGGCCAGTCCTTGGAGAGGGATATTGTGCTTGAGAAGGTGGAGGGACAGTGCAGGAAAGGAAGACCCTCGAAGAGATGGATTGATTCAGTGACTGGGGTATGGTGGGTCAGTGTGTTGGGGACCGTGAGATTGGCAAGGGATAGAACAGGGTTTAGGGCTGTTGTACATAAGGTCGCTATGAGTTGCAGGCCATTCGGTGGCACATAACAACAACAACAATTGAAGTGAGGCCCATGTTAGGTAATTTATGCAAAGCCTTGGGAATAGTGCCTGTGGAAACAGGGTCTTTTTAGTGAGCTAACAAATTTTTATTGAGCACCTGCTACATGCTATTAATTCTTTTTTCAATTAATTGAGGGGTATGTTTGTATATGTGTGTGTTCTGTGCACTGTTAAGACACTAAGGATTCAACAGTGAGCTGGCACTCTAGTGTGAGGAGAAAGGCCTTCCTCCTAATTTCTTCACATGGTAGACCAATCCTTGTCATTCAGCCCAAATCCTGCTTCCTCAAAAAAGTCTTTCTGACCATTTGATCTAAGTTAGCCTTCTCTCCACCATTTCTACTGCTATTTTCAGTTATCAGGGGCTGTTTAACAAAATGTCTCAAAACTTAGAGGCTTAAAAGTTCACTGTCTGCTGGGAAGCATGTATTGAAAGGCTCCAATTTCTCATGGTTCTAAGGCTTGCCTGGGCTCAACTGGGTGGTTCTTCTGCCCCAGTGTTGTAGCAGGAGATCACTGCTGGAGCCAGAACCTTCAAGATGACTCTACCGTGCAGGGCTTCTCTCCACACACGTCTTCTCTCATCCCATATCATTCCATATTATTCCATAGTCTAGCCTTGGCTTCAATACTGCATGACAGATGAGTTTTAGAGAAGGCGTGGGGGGGGGAGGGCAGAGGAATTCACCTGCTTGCCACTTCCCTTAATGACTTGGCTAGGAGTTGACACAGCATCACTTTCATTGTATTTTGTTGGTCAACAGTAGTTGTAAGACGAGTGCAGATTTAAAAGGAAGTAGACTCCATCTCTTGACAAAAATGGGGAAGAACTTGTGGTCATCCTTAACCCACCACTTTCTCCATCTGAGGTGTTTCTTTTGTTATCTTTCTTACATAAAAGTGTGTTTTGATTTGTTTACCTTTGGTGGGAACTCGTAAATTAACTGGACATCAGTTCACACATTCCCTCTCCGGAAGCGGACTGCCTTAACCTGATCAGCATGTACTAGAGTGCCCTTACGAAGTGATTCCAATGGTAGAGCGTCAGGGTGAGGTGCTAGGACCCTTCCCGTCCACCAGCTCCTGCCTCTTCTCCTCTCTCAGTTGGCTGGAGGTGAGGGAGTGCTTTGCAGCCTCTGACACCTGATTCTTCTCCACACCCTGGCTTTGAGGGATTGTCCTCGCCACCCCATTCCTTGCCACTGTGATTTTCTCAATTCTTCCCCTCACCCCAAGCTCCCCCTGTGGTTATTTTCTTCTCCTGAGGTGGTGCGTGTGTCTGGCATCTGGGGAGAAGCAGGTGGACGTGTTGGGTGGTTAATGGGTGGTGTGTGAGCATTCCTTGGGGGTGAACTTCAGAGGGTGTTCACCCTGTGTCTTTGTTCTATGCTGCTCCTGAGATGGGGAATGCCATCACGCTCCAGAAGAGTCCGAATCTGCTGGAAGCAGCAGGAGAAAAGAAGACTGTGATGAAGAAGATGATGGTGTGGAGGGCACGTCTGGTTCTGTGGTACTAGGGTGGGGGTGCAAGTGGAATGGCCGAGGCCGCTGCTGAGGAGACAGGGCACTGAGTGGGGCAGAGGACAGGAGGAGGAAGGAGTGGGACATGGGGCTTGAGTCTAACCAGCTCCTCTTCTAACTTCCTGAGGGCGTTTGGACAATCACTTCCTTTGCTGAGCCTCATTCCCCTCATCTCACAAATGAATGAGAGGCTGTTAAAACCCAAACCCAACCCACCATCCTTGAGTTGACTCTGACTCATAGAGACCTTCCTTTCCGAGGTTGTGCAACTTCATAGGAGGAGACTGCATTTCTCTGATGGAAGAGAAAAGATTTGAACCACTGACCTTTGGTTAGCAGCACACACATAGCAGACTGCATAAAGAGAGCTCCTCATTGGGTTGTTGAAAGGCTACAACCCACTAGTTAATTGTAAAGCCGTAGGCGTCTGTGAGCAGCTTTTATTATTTATGCATTTTTGTCTCAAAAATTCTTTCGAGTGGCAAGCTTCAGAGTGTTTCTTCACTATTTCAAATGTCATTTATGTCTTTTTCACTATTGTGCTAAATGCAGCCACTTCTCAGTCACTTGGCAGAATGGGCGGCAGGCAGTATTACCACTGATGTTTTCAAAATTATATCTGGCTTTCCTTAAAAAGAAGGAAAAAATCCTTTCCCCTTTGTAACTTCACTTAACATTAATCAGGCACTGTGAACAGGGGGTTGGATAAAACCAGATAGTCATTTTGATTATGTCCTGTCAAGTCAGAATTGACCCACAGCTGACGCTCCAGCAGGTTTTCAGAGGCAGTAATTGCCCATAGGAGGCAATTGCCTACCTTTGTTCTGTGGAGCAGCTCGTGGATTTGAACTGCCTTCTTCTGGGTTGGCAGTGCAACTCCTTATCACTAAGCCACTTGAGCTTGCAAGTGAGACATTTAGAAGAATTAAATTAAATGACTGTTAAGGGTCATCCATGATACTTTAAAACATGCCTCCCTACTGAGAGGCCAAGGGCACAGTTCCTGCTGAGTCTTCCCGGCTTCCAGGTGGCTGCAGCTGCGGAAGGGGTAGGGTGTTTTCAGTTTTCAGTGGCCTTGAAATGAAGGCCCAGGAGGAGTCTGAGCAGTGGGTGGTATATCAAGCTCCTGAAGGCGGGATATGGCACTAGTTGGGGCTCTGTGCCAAAGGGGTAGGTGGCCAGCTCCCTGTTGAACCCTGTCCCCTTCATCAGCCAGTCTGGGGTCCTCTCTCTCCAGAGACAGATCCAGGAGGAGCCGCTGGATTCGCTCTCGAGCAATGTCCGCCAGAAGGCCATGGAGACCCTGACCCAGCTGAGGTGTCCACGATACTCCTTCCCCTCCTCCTATCTCCATCCCTGCCGGTCTAATCAGGGACCTCTCACAGTGCCCCCACTGCCCCCCACCTTCTCCTCTCCTTCGCCCAATTCCTGCCAGGGCTGTCTGACCTTCACACCCCACTTCCTTCTCCCTTGCCTCCTCAACTCCTCCCTTCATGGGATCTAACTCTCAGGCCATCCTCACCCCAGCCTTACGTGGCAGTTTCCCCCCTAGCATCAGAGCCCACCGTCATTTCCCACTCCCTCACTGGTTCCTTTGCTTCCTATCTTTCTTCCAGCCACACTCAGCCTATCCTGGGGTTGCAGGAGAAGTCAGAGCTGGTGAACATATGTGTGAAGAGCGTGTTCTCCCTGCCTTCCGTGCAGGCCATGCAGGAGAAAGATGAGGTCCAAGCTGAGTCTATACGGGTGAGCATGCCTGACCTCCCAGGGAAGATGTCTTTAGCCTGTCTGCTCTCCAGCTTCACACTAAGGTGTGTTTCTGGGTTCCTGGGGAACTTACCTTGTTAGCTGCCTGGCCTTCCTCACCTTTCTTGGCCTGAGGAGCACTCAGTGAATTTTTGGTCAATGAGTGGAACCTCAAAAAAGGAGGAGCAGAGGGCCCTGCTTACTTCCGGGGAGATTTTGGCAGGGCTAGAGGAGGTGGCTAGGATCTAAGGACTAGTCCACAACAAAGAAGGATTAGGGGAGCTGGGCTGTGGTTTGGAGAAGAGGAAAAGCAAGAGGCTGGTGTGAGCACCTGTAAAACGCTGCCAGACCATCCAGACAGGAGCAGGCAGAGGGACCTGTAAGATAAAGGGGGAGCTGGGGTCCCGAAGGAGACTAAAGAGAAGATTTCTATCTCAGGGGAGGCACATTCGTTTGTTCTTTCAGTTAACAAATATCAACTGAGTGCCTACTTCATGCCAAACTCAGTAACTGAGGCAGGCGGAGGGGAGATGGAAACTATCAAAGAATCTTCTGAATAAATGTAAAATTGCAACAATGGTAAATGCTGCTAATAACAATGACTTTATGCTGTGAACCGGGGCGCTGGTGACACGGTGATGATGGATGATTAACTGATAGGCGCTAAAGGTTGGTGACTTGAATCCACTGGATGAGGCACTTGCTCCTGTAAACACAGCTGTGGAAACTCTATGGGTAGTTGGTTGTTCTCTGTCCTGCAGGGTCACCAGGGTCAGCAGCCATTCAGAGGCAGTAGGTTTGGTGGTACTCTGCATTAGAGGGCACATTTCCCCGAGGCAGTTGTGAATGTGGACCTGAGAGTTGTTAGAAGTGATTTGCTCATGCCCTCCAGGAACATCCCCCAGCCCCAGAGTAGTGGAAGGCAGAAGTGGACAGAGATAACACAGTGACTGCAGGATGAAAGAAGAGGCTGTGCCTGGAGGCCAGAGGGTAGGGGTGAGAGCGGTGAGGTGAGGCTGGAAAGTCAGTGGGGTCAGGCCACTCTGGCAGGTTGAGGGTTTTTTCAATTCTTATTCATTCATTGTTGCAATTTCTTCTCTTCCCCACCTCTCCCCTCCCCCAGCCGACTTTGCAGTGCACCTCTTGTTGCAGTTTGTTGTCATAGGTTGAGTGTTCTGAGTCTGGGTGGTGCTATGCTGAATTGGGAGGTCCTTGCGGGGTGAGAAGGCAGTCATCTTGTAGTACCAGGTATGGTCAGCAGAGGTCAGTGCTGCACAGTGATTAGCAGCACGTGGCGGGGAAGGAGGTAGGTAGTTGGTCCTTGAGGCTTGCTTGGTGGTTGTGGTGTAATCTGGAGAGCCACTGATTTGTGACCTTGTCAAAACTCAGGAAGGCTCAACAGCAATAACCTGGAACATGCTTTGGGGGGGGGGGGCTGGAAAGAGGAAGGGAGGTAAAGAAGAAAAATTCTTGCCAAAGTGACTAACCCCACTACCCAGCCTGTGTGCATGTCATACCCCACCTTTGTAAGACAATTCCAGAACTCTGCAGTAGTTGATGGGATGAGAAAACCTGCAACTTCAAGGGAAGGATAGTTTTCTTAAAGGAGAAATCTCTTTTGGTCTAAGAGTTGTTATGTGCTGTCCAGTCGACTCATAGCAACCCCTATGCACAACAGCTCTGAACTGTGCTCTATCCTGAGACAATCTCACCGTCTCTGACATACATACCCTCACTATTCCAGTTATTGTGTCAGTTCATCTCATCTGGGGTCTTCTCCTGTGCTGTCCCTTGACCCTTCCAAGCATGATAGCCTTCTCCAAGGACTGGTCAGTCCCTCCTAGGAACATGCCCAAAGAGTAGGAGATGGAGTGTCAAAATCCATGCCTCCAAGGAGAAGCTTTGTTTCACCTTCTCCAGGACAGATCTTTTCGTTCTCTTGGTGGTCCATTGTATATTCAATACTCTTCTCTAACACCACAATTCAAAGGCATCAATTATTCTTCTGTCATCCTTGGTTATGTACACCTTAGTCTCTAGACTGACATCTTTACCCTTTAGCACTCTGGAGAAGTTCCTGACAGCAGATTTTCCTAATGCAATGCATCTTTAGATTTCCTGACTGCTGGTGCTGAGAGTGTTGATTGTGGAGCCTAGCAAGGTGAAATTGTTAATAATCTCCATCTCTTCTCTAGCTATCATGATGCTGCCAATCAGCCGAGTGGTGAGAATCTTCATTTTCTTGTTGTTGAGCTTCAATTCATTTTGCAAACTATATTCTTTGACCTTCTGCAGCAAATGCTTCAGGCCCTCCTTGGTTTCAGCAAGTAAGGTTGTATCTTTTACATAGCACAGGTTGTTGATGACTCTTCCTTTCATCCTGATGCCACATTCCTCCTGAAAAGTCCAGCCTCTCAAATTATCTGTTCTGCATACAGATTGAAAAGGTATGGAAATAGGACACACCCCTGATACACTCATTTTCTGGTTTTGAACCGTGCTGTGTTTTCCTACTCCGTTCTGATTACCGCCTCTAGGAGTGTGTTGTGTTGTGAACTGTAGATTCAGAACGGACCCATAACTGATCCTCTGGCAGGTTTTCAGAGGCAATTATTCACACAAGAGACTTCCCACCTGCAGAACAATTGATGGCCTTGAACCACGTGCCTTTGGGATTACAGTGCAACTTCTTACCACTAGGCCTTCAGAGAATTGAAAAAGATGGCCTAGTGGTAAGAAGCTGCGCTGCAATTCCAAAGGCATGTGGTTTGAATCCTCCAGCTGCTCTGTGGTAGGAGAATGGGCAATCTCCACCCATGCCTCTGAAAACCTGCTGAAGGGTCCGCTATGGGTTGGTTCAGACTCAACAGTACACAACAAGAAGAATAAAAATGAGACTGGTCTTCCTATCTGTTGTGTGTCATCAAGTTGGAACTGACTCATAGCTGTTTAGAAAAGATTGTCCATCTTTTTCCCATAGAAAAGATGGTGGATTTGAACCATGTGCTTTCAAGTTGGCTGTCAGCGTTCACGCCTGTCTCTCATCATTCTAGAGCACGTTCCCAACCATCCACTCTTGTCTTGCATGACTTGAAGCTCTTATGCTGTGTAATCTTGGTTAAGGGTCTGTTCATTTGTAAAATAAGAAAAGTAGTTTGAAGGCAAACCCTGGCCTAGACCATGGTAGATAGTCGCTGGGTCTCTGCTTCCACTCTTTTCAGACTGGGAAAAAGAAATCCACTGCCTCCAAGTCAACCCGGTAGCACAGAGAACTGCCCAGAGTTTCCAAGGCTGTCAATCCTTAAGGAAGCAGCCTGCTTCACCTTTCTCATGTGGTGTTGGTGTTAGGTGCCATCGAGTCATGTACAACTCATGGTGGCCCTATGAACAATAGACCTGAATGAACCCTGTCCTATCCTCACCATCATCATGCCTCCTTCATAAGTCCCTTGTGTCACTATGTCAATCTGTCTCAACCGGGTCTTCCTGCCTTTCACTGATTCACAAGCCCACCAGAGCTCCTCTTAGAGTAAGAGAAGGACAAAATTAGTTATTACCACTCTGTCAATGAGGAAATTGTAACATGGACCTAAGTAACTTGCCCAATATCCCCCACCCATCACATCAGTCTCAGAGGAGAGGCCAGAAAGCAGCTCTCTTAGGTCAGAAAGCCCCTTTCTCCCCTGATGACCCAGGCATTGCCTGGTGCTTGGATTTGCCGTAGGAGCCCCTGAATGACTTGATCCTCATTCTGTCCACAGATACTTTACCATCAGACCCTGCATGCCCTTCAGACACTGCTCAATGCTCTCTTCGTTGAGGATCCCACTCCTACTGGGATGAAGAGCATCTTGGAGGTAGAGTATAGGAATGTGTAGGGACAAGGGGAGAGGAATTGACTCAGAAATAGTGGGAGACTGGGCCCAGGAAGGAGTGGTTAGACCTCAAGCTGTCATGTCATGCCAATGATCTACCTCTGTGTCTCTTTTACAGACTACGTGTCAGTCCTGTGCCTCTTCATTCTCTCTCTGTTCCCTATCAGTATAGATGTCACCACCATCTCTCTCTCTCTCTCTCTCTCTCTCCCCATTCTCTTCCTTGTCTTACATATGTGCATGACCCTCTGTTTCTCATCTCCCCTCATTGGCCTTTTCTTTCCTTCTTGTTAGTCAGTTTCTCAACTTTTGGATTCTATCTCCCCTGAGCTCTGAGAAGAGGCTGAGGGATGTAGTAAGTTACCCTCCTGCCCTCTGTGGAAGCTCCCTGTTGCTAGGCAAAAGCTAGTCTACCTGTCCTGGAAGTAGAGGTCACCATCCAGCCTGTAGCTCTGAGTCCTGCCTTGATTGTCCCCACAGGCCCTGGGGCCCTGGATGAACTCTGAGAAAGCCCACGAGAGAGCACGGGCTGTGAACAGCAATGTCTCTGTGCTGAACCACACGCTTCTGACCTTGCCGTACTTTGTGAGTGGCTCCTGGGGCGGGGACACTCCTGGAAGACTCTTCCTCGCTCTGATGTACAGACAGTCTACCCAGGGATTGCCTGGTGGCCCTCATCATCTTCCCTCTGCTCTCAGGGTTAGACCATTCAGCTCTGCTCATTTACTGCACAGTATTGCTGAACCTCTAAGAGTCAGTCTCTACAATTCTGACACAAACAGATATCCTCTGGGTTCCCGGCCCTGGGGCTCCTGCTGGGAAGGCTCCTCCTCCGCATTGGGGATCCTGATGAGGAGATTGGTCGGAAAGCGCTGGATGGTATCATTATTCTGTACACCATCCTGGAGCTCCAAAAACGTAAGTCCTGCTCCAGTATTCCCAAAGCAAGACTTCTGAAGAGACACTCAGCATGAGAACCGGGGAGAAGGCAGACTGCGGCCTTGGCAATGTCGTCCTGCTGGGACATGGGGGAAATTGGAATAGGGTCAGATGGGGCTGGAACTACTGGTATCAACTCTTAGTCATCACAGGACCAGAAACAGCTTACAAACAAACCTGTTCTGATCCAAGAAATGATTCTTACCCCTGAACCTTTCTGCATCTTTCCAAGCTTAATGTGTAACTCCCATCTTCATCTTACCATGGTATTATAGGCCAAATTAAGGTTGTCAACTTAGCAACTGAAAATGTAGGATGTCTTTAAAATTTGAATTTCAGATAAACAGTGAACAAATTTTAATATATTTGGGACATAATTACACTAAAAAGTATCCATTGTTTATCTGAGTTCAAATATAACTGGACATCTGTATTTTATCTTGCAATCCTAGGTTAGACCCTTATTGTTACAGTCTTGGGGAGAGAAGTGGATTGTCCAGAGCCCCCAAATATAGGAAGCAAATCTGAATTTGAACTTGAGGTCTGCAAAATTCCAGACCACAAACTCCCTTTACGAACAGCTTTTGCACTTGGTCCCTCTGGTCACTCTCCTCAGTGACCCTTTTCTGTATCTGTGGCCTGCACAGCCTGAATTGATCCAGGTAGGACACAGGCCAGGACCTAGGATGGCTCAAGAAATGGGCCTGAAATGTATTTCTTTCAACAGAAAATATGTAGTTCCTGCATCCTTGGCTGATAGTTAAGTGTTTCAACTACTAGCTGAAAGGTTGGCTGTTCAGTTCACACTCGGGGCATCTCACAAGATAGTTCTGATGATTTGTTTTCAAAGGTCATAGCCTTTAAAAAAGCCTTAAGAAATAGTTCTATGCTGCACTCATGGGATTGTCGTGAGTGGTGACTGACCCAATGGCAACTGACGACGACAACAACAACAACATATACCACATATGCATGTACACAAAGATGTTGGGGACATAGTCGGGGTGTAAAGAGATGGTGTGAGACAGCCAATGAACAAAATTAGCCATAGTACATGTCTGCTCGTGGTGAAAAGTGCTACAAAAGCAGAAAGGAGGAAGGAGGAGTACCAGAGGATAGGAGGGTTATAGTTTAAAGGGGTGATGTCACCACTTGTCTACATCCAGAATGTAAAAAAGGGGGGGAAAGTCTCCCATAGTGGCAAGATGTGAGGAAGTGGGGCTCTCAGACGCCACTCGCAGGAGGGTAACTGGCTCCCACTGTGGAAATGATGCAATTGCAAAATTGTCTCCTGAAACGAAACACATACCTCCGCCATCACTCAGCAATTCTGTTCCCCTAGTTATATACACAACAACCTTATGCATGCCCTCACCAAAGTCACGTGCTGGGATGTTCACAGCAATCCTGCACAGGCTGGTGGTGGTGGTCAACATCCACGCCTCACCGAGATGCTTTCTCCTCACAGGAACCAGAGACAAGGAGGAGACGAACAAGAGAGAGCTGTATGAAAGCAACAAGCGCTTCCTGGGGCCCTACAACCCCAAAAGCCCCTGCCAGAACATCCTGCGCATCATCGCGGTGACGCCACCCCTCTTCAGCCTCCCACTCCAGTGCCCCGTCCCTGTCAGCCAACTCCCTCAGCAGTCCCCACATCAGCCCCTCACAAATGCCCCGTACCCTCAGTCTATGCCCGATTCCTAGGCCAAGGACTTGCTCTCCCTGATGGGTGCCACCCAGTCCTGGGGACAGAGACTGTGCCATCCCTTCTTCTGTAGGTTCTCTCACCCTTGCTAACTGGGTACCGGCAGGTCCTGTCTCTCTAGCTGTTTTTCCATCTCTGTATTGCTTCGCATGTGTCAACATCTCTGTACTTTTGTTTCAGGAATTTGGGGACTTCCTGGGGCCCCAACAGGTGAAAGACTTGATGTTGGCAGCCCTGGAAGGGCTGAAGGGTGGCCCAGAGGCTTCCAGGAAGGCCTTGGTGGAGATGATGCAGCTGGCCTCGGAGGTCACACTCAGCTCAGTGCTGGAGTGGTACCGGCACAGGGTGCTGGAGGTGGTAAGGTCCCCAGGGAGGAGGGGGCTGGGTGGTCACTGGGCCTGGGAGACCCTGCAGGGCCTGCCTGCAACCCTGGCCAGCCTGTTTGTGAACGGGGCTGGTGAGTGGAGTGGGGAGTAGTGTGGGAACCCTAGGGCTCCAATGGGAGTGGGCGGTGGCTGATTTCTGGGAGCCCCAGCCTTTAGGTTACTCTCTACTCCTGAGAGAAAGCAAACAGCTGGGAGCTGGGAGACGACTAAGACCAGTAGGGTCACCTCAGGGAAGAAGCAGGCCCAGGGTGCACCTCTCCCCTCCTGCTCTCCTTGCTCCCTTGTCACCCCCCTCTATCCTGCCATATCCCCTTGCTTTCTCTTCACTCTCTCACTCCTCACTGGGCTTCTCTGTCTTTTCCATCTGCTCTTGGCTGCTGGCTGTGTCCCAGATCCCAGAAATCATGCAGGGCATCTACGCGCAGCTGAGCCACATTCAGGAGCCGCGGGCCCGCGAGGTGGCCCTGCTGCCCGTCTCCCTCCTGGCCAGCTCCTTCATGACTGAGGTGGTTGTGGCCCTGCTTATGTGCCCCCTACCATTGGACAGGTACCAAGTGGGGGATGGAAACTCCTTCTACTCTCCTGTCCTCCCCGATGGCCCTCCTTCATGAGTACTGCTGGGTGTCAGGTGCCATGCTGGCCGGGAATTTAATACTGTTTCCAATTTTCACAATGATGTTATTGTACAGACGAGAAAATGGAGGCTTTGGGACATTTCCTTGCCCTAAGTACCCAATAGGAAAGCAAAAGAACCAAAATATAAACTCTTGTCTGACTGACTCCAAACTCTGAGCTCTTTAATGACGGCAGGAGAAGGAATCCTGAGTCTTGATCCTGACTCTGCCTCCAGCTACTGTGTGATCTTGGGAAGTGTCTTGCCCTGTCTGGTCATCAGTGTTTCCCTGATAGTTAAAAGGAAGAAATATTCCTGTTAGCCAAAACCCGAACCATGCCCAGTGCCACTGAGTAGAATCCTGGTTCCCAGCGACTGTGCAGGTCTGAGTAGAATCACCCTGGTAAGCTCTCCAAGGTTCTGAATCTTTACAGAAGCAGATGAGTACAGTGTGCTCCCATAGAGTGGCTCGTGAGTTTGAACCACCAACCTTTTGATGAACACACAAGCTCAAAATTGTTTGAAGGCCACTGTTAAAGAACTGTGTGGAGCTTGACAAAGGCGAGCAATCAGGAGCAAGCAGGACGGTCAGGGCCAGGCTGGCACTCCCCGCTCCCCTACTAGAAATATTTAACCCTTGCTCATGAGTTACCAAGAAAACAATTAGGAAGTTTTCTTGTGTCCAACTAGCTATTCAGACAGACAGAACCATCATGGGCCACACTTGACACTGGACTCACTCAGGAGAGACGACAGGCCAGTGTTAGGGCTCCTCTTTGCAAGGATCCTCACTGTAACCCGTGATGCAGTCCACTCAGGGCCAGGACTGGAGTAAGGCAAAAGGCATTCGGGTTGCAAAATTTAAGGAAGCACCCACGCTCAGGTGCTGTGGCTGCACTTGCTGGAGCCTGAGAATGAGTGCCTCCTTAGATTCAGTAGTTCTCCACTGGACCTCCCAGATCACCACTCTGGTGGGTGCAGGCACCACCCTCACTGCAATCAGTCCCCTCATAATAACTTCCAGGGCCTCGCAGAGATGGTCCAGCTCCAGGAGTCTGTACACTCCAGGAGGTTCAGCACTGTGGCATGCCCACCCAGTTCTTAGAGTTAATTTATAATTGCTTCTAGTCCAGATGCAATTTGCCAATGGGGTCATTTTTACCATAAGCAATGTTGCCTAGCAACATAGTTGACATACTATCTTTATCAGGTTTCCAGGGGAACAGAGCTAGAAAGTTAATGGAAGGTTCAAATGCTCATGCAGAAGGGGAAGAGGTTTTTGTTAACCCTTTAACACGCTGGCCGATCCATACTGCTGCCTGATTATTATGTGACAAGTGGCAGAGGGTTCAACTGCTTGGATTCTTGCTGCTTGGTGAGGAGGACAGTGCACTGATGTTGGAGCCATTTCAAAACAAAACCAAAACCCAGTTGTCATCAAGTCGATTCGGTTTCTCAGCAAACCCGTGCATGTAGAGTAGACTACACTTCGTAGAGTTTTTAAGGCTGTGACCTTTCAGAAGAACACTAGGCTTTCCTCCTAAGGCACCCTTGGGTTGGTCCAAACGTCCAACCCCTACCAGGTGTGTGTCATCCAGGGATGGAGACTTTGGACCTGGTCAAATCTTATCGTGGTTGCTCATCCGCTCTGTAGTCTTAGGCTAATGACTTCACCTCTCTGAACTACCTCTGTAAAATGGGAATAACATTTATTTTGAAGGTCACAAAACTCAATGACCTTGGATATCTTGATTATCTTGTTTCTCGGCAATTTGGCCTCAGGTATAGAGCAAGCATGCAAGAAATATTTGCTAAGTAATACTTTATATGATTTATTACCTTGTATTATGCACCTGGCATGATATTTGGGAATTTGCTTTTGCAATATCTGTTAGCACCCCTGCTTCTTGGGGAGTGCTTTCTGAACCATTCCTTGCTGGCATACCATTAAGGTGGCATAGTCTCTTCCCCTCCCCAAACCATTTGAAGGCACTGTGGATGCCCCTTCCCTGGTCGCTACTAACCAATCTCCCCTGGCCTCTCAGCAATGGAGCAGAAATGTGGAGACAGCTGATACTGCGTAAGCCCAGCTGTGATACCCGAGACCTCCTGGATCTGCTCCTGACCAGCGTGAAGGAGAAGCCTGTCACCAAGAAGGGCAGGACCTCCATTGTACCCCTGGCGGTGAGCACGCACCCTCATCCCCCCTTTCCTGTTCTTCATTTCTCCTTCTCTCTCTCTCTCTTGAGCTCAGCAAACCCTGCTTTGGCTTCAGGCTTTCCAGTGACTAGCAATGTGGGGTAGGACAGGTCGCTCCCTGAGCTCCTGCCTGAGGGCTGGGGTTAGTTTCCATTGGTGCTGGTCACATGGGGACAAGAGGGACAGCCCAGTTTAGTAGCCCAGGGTGAAGAGGCCAGTGTGGTACTCCCGCTGTATTTGTGTCTGTGTTGAGAGTAAGAGGCAGGATTGCAACAGGCAGTGTCTGAAAACCTGAGTCTAAGGGACTAGGTGACCATGATCATGTCCCTTTGCCCCTTTGAGCCATCTTCCCACCTGCAAAATGAGGCCCCAGAGCCTTTGCCCCACGGGGCTGGGAAAGGATCTCTCTGCCATGATTTTCCCAAGATCATGCTCAGGTCAAAGCTATCACATACCAATTGTCTTCAGCATTTAAGGACCTCAGGTGTGTCAGAGTAAGGAGCCCTGGAGACGTGGTAAGCACATTGGGCTGATAATCAAAAGGTCATCAGTTAGAATCTACCAGTGACTCCACGGGAGGAGGTTGCATAGACTCTTCCGATGAAGATTTCTAGCTTTGGAAACCTTGATGCCCTGGGTTTGGGTTTTGCCTTGTCAGCATAGAACTCTGTCCCTTGCGGTTTCTGGTGGCTCATTTTACCAAAGTAAATCACCAGGTTTGTCTTCCAACGTGACTCTGTGTGGATTTGAACCGCCAACCTTTCAGTTAGCAGTCAAGCATGTTAATCATTTATTTGCACCATCCAGGAACTCCTAGACCAAACAAAGCTAAGTAGCTAACAACTGTTGTTGGTGTTTGGGTAGGATCTATCCAGAGGGCCACTGGTTTGCTTGGGAATCTGGATTTTTCCATGTGAGATCAGAGGAGAGCAAGGATGAGTGACCAACCTACCAGAAGAGGCTCTCCTGGTCCCATGCTACGAGTGCTAGAAAGATGGACTAGGATGGCCCACCACCTTCCTCTCTGTCCCCCAGGCAGCCAGCGGCCTGTGCGAGCTCCTCTCTGTCAACAGCTGTGTGGGCCGAGTGAGGCGTATCTACCCCCAGCTGCTGCTGGCCCTGCTAGTTCAGGTGCATTACCACATTGGCCTGAACTTGCCTGGCCGCCCAGACTGCAGCAAGGACACCAGGAAGGATGCACAGCCCTCTGCCTTCGTGCCTGTCTGGTAAGCTCTCCTTTTATCCCTAGTTTCTGGCAGAAAGAATGGTCCCCCAGCAAGCACCCTTCTGAATGTCCATAGAGTGACCAATCAGCAGTCATTATCTTTGAGATTGGAAGAGAAAACAGAAACATAATTTTATTGTTTAGACTCTATCAAGTCGAGTAAGACTCATAGTAACTCTAAGAACAACAAATCTGAACCCTGTCCTATCCTGTGCCATCCTCATACGTTCTGACATACTTGAGCACATTTTTTCAGTCACTGTGTCAATCTTTCTGGTTGGGATCTCCCACTCCTTCACTCTCCCACCACCTTTCTAAGCATGATGACCCTTTCCAAGGAAGAGCCTCTCCTAACAATATGCCCAAAGTATGTGAGATGAAGCTTTGCCATCTTTGTCCCCAAGGAGCACTCTGGCTGCACTCTCTCCAAGACCTATCTGCTTCATCTTTTGACAGTCCAAGGGATACTCTTCTCCCACACCACAGCTCAAAGGCATTTAATTCTTCTTCTGTCATCCTTATTCATTGTTCAGTTTTCAGATGCACAGTAAATAATTGTCAAGACCTCTGCCTGAATCAGGTGCACTTTCTCGTCTTCAAACTGACATCATTGCTCCTCAGTAACTTGGCAAGGTCCTTGACTGCAGATTTTGCCAACCCAATACATCTTACAAACCAGTGCGATTCACTCATTTGTGAGTACCTGCTGTACTGTGGTGACATGCATGCTGCTGTGATGCTGGAAGGTGTCTGAAAGACAGCTGGTCCGAAAGACTGTGCGTGTCAGATACTCAGCTTAGTACTGGACCCAGGAAAGAGTCGAGGTCCTTCTCCTGACTCTTAGGAACTTACCATTTATTTTTTTGCCTCTTCCTTCTTAGAAACATTATGTATATTGGGTTTATATTGGAAAAACTAGTCATTTTCTTTTAAATTGATTTTATTGCTGTTATTTTTGTTAAGAAACTTGGGTGGTAAACTCCATAGAGATTTGTGCAGCTAACCCAAAGACACTCGTGATTGGAACATGGAATGTGAGAACCATGAATGTAGGAAAATTAGAAATTGTTAAAAAAGAAATGGAACGCATAAATATTGACATACTAGGCATTGGAGAGATGAGATGGACTGGCATGGGTCATTCTGAGTC